GACCCTCTTCGAACCCCTCCTCTCCTACCTTACAAGGCCACTCTCCCGCTTCTCCCACTATGTTCCAAATATTATTTCCGCCTACAACACCAAAATCTCACCCCATAGTGCATTCTCTTCCTTCTTCTTCTATGGCAACCCTCTGTTGAGAATTCCTCAACCGTGGCTTAACTTCGGCAAGAACAAGTATTTATTTTCAGAAAGTTCATCTTCATAATGGATTCCATTTCCATTTCTCAAGCATAACATAGGTCTAAATAATCTAATAGTACTGCTACTGCATGCAGCACATCGCGTTCATTTCTCAGAACTCGTCAATGCCCTTTTAATTACGTGTTTTCAATTACGTAGTGTGTCAGTGCCACCATTATTGGAATTGTGTGGCCTTGAAACGCTCGCCGTCCAGTTGGCAAAATTGCCTATTAGGTCTTACGACTTGCGTGTTCCAACACCCCCACATAAAGTCAGAAATGAGCGAATGAACATTAATTGAGAAGCAAGGGACTTATCCAACTGGCAGGGGAAGGCGGCTGATGTTTATCCCGTGAAATAGCGCAAGAAATTAGTTTAGGCAAATGAGTGAACAAAATGTTGCTAGCAAGGAACTCTGCAACCAGGGGAGAGCATCCGTCAGCAATTCCCAAAAAGGGGTCGTATTTTCCAATCCAAAGGGTGTCGTGCTTTTTTAGGAAAGCGTGCGTGGTACTTTTGGAAGGGATGTGAAATGAAAGTTTTTGATTTGGCAGTGTAGACTACTTACGGATGTTAAAAATGGGAATTTTGTGAGTTTACTGTTTTCGCCGTTTCAGCAGTATGCCCACCACTGCGCTTTCCTTCCTCCATGCTCGCGCAAGCCCCCTTTTCGGAGGTGTAACCAGGATCAACCATCCGTTCGCGCTATTCAAACGAGGGTGTCACATTTGCGATTTTGGAGGAGGGATTGCATTTTGGGTTGAGAAAGGTTAACCATGTTTGAGCAAAGAGCAAATGAGGGTCGTATTTGTTTGATGAATTTATCAAAAACCTCGCGGAAGAAGTGAAAAACGGGCGGACTTGAGGTTCGCCCTCTTCATTAGAAATGTTTACAACTCCCTTGGTTGCCGGCCGTTTTGAAGGAAATAGTGACCGGAGTTGGACTATGTCGACTGAACTCCGAATCAAGTATAGAAATAGCCATAATGGCGTGGATGGTGGTCGGTGTAGGGGGAGGAAGGTCGTAGGCCGATGGTAGTGGTGCGGGCTCGCTCCGAGACAAGTGGGGGATCGCAAAAGTTTTGGGAAAGTTCGAACGCGACGGTTGACCCTGTATGGAACCAGGTCCAAGTGGATTGACTGTGGAGACTCTCTGGATGTCATATAGGAACCTTCTCCAAGCATTGAGGAGGCTTCAGAAATCGTGCAATCCTTTTTTTGAAACCCTTTGCTAGCCCTTAATGATCCTTCTTTGTTTTATTCCTTCTCATCCCCTCCACGCGAAGCCAGAACGCGTCCCTGGCTTAAGGACGTAGCCCACTTCATGTGACTCTTGATTTTGAAGGGGTTTATTTTCGTTTCGCCTTTCATTTTGCTACATAAACAAAGGTTTGCAATATTTTTTGCATGATTGGGGAACTGTGGGCGACGTGGACGGGAAGTCCTCTGATCTCGGGTGCAATTCGTTGATGTGAGAACGTTATCTCCGATTTGTGCTAGTTGGTGTTTTTCAAGTTAATTGAGAAAGGTTTTCAGGCAGACCAGCTCGAGGAGCAGACCCTGGACTATCCCCTCGAAGTGACAGCACTCGAATCCTGCACACGCGTTCCTCCATCTGACACGGAAGACACTTCGGACACCCTTCGGCCGTCTTCCATCGCGATCTACGCCGATATCGGACATCTGACCACCTATTGTAAATCTAACTACTCGCAACTTCAACTTGGTGCGGGATTCCGTTTTTTTTTTTCATTTTCGTCTCACTTATTTTGTAAAAATTTAACTTATATCAGTGAATGAACTTCCACACCAGCAAGTAGGTACTCCTATTATAAATAGAGCGGCCAGGATTGTCGCGAATTTGATCTTCTGTATCTTTGCTTTGTGACTAACTTCTACAGCCAAAGTAATCACCTCACTTTTGATGATTCACTATCGTAAGATGAGTAATTATATGATGGTCTGGCAAAATCGATTTCTCATCCTCCATCTGTGTACCTTTTTGGTGGCCCAGATATCTAGCCTAGATCACCGTTATCGTGTTGACCTCGTGTGATAGCACGAAACAGCAGCATTGGGATTGGCCAAAGCTCAAATTCGTGCAAGTGTTGCACAAGTGCGCCGATCGTTGTAATTCCACAAGATTTCGCTGCTGACCTCTCAACGGGGACACTACGAGTCGCACCCACGCTTCTCGAGAACAAAGCTTTTGAAATTCAAATATTTTTTTATTCGTCGTTGTAATCAAAGCGCTCTATTATAATAAAGTGAAGAAACAGTTGCTGATCTTAAAAGAACAATAAAATGAAGCAATCCAAATATATAAAGCAAAGACCAAGAAAAACAGGAAAGAAAAGTGCCATGTGTAGTCGGCGACCGATAAGTATATGAATCGCTTTTTACGTTTCCACTCTGAGTGCCTCCAATGTACGTGCCTGAAAGCCTTTAGAAGAGTAAAAGCGGTCTTATCCCAGCAGACTTCAAAAAATTCAAAAAAAAAATCCACACCAGCCTATAGGCGTTTAAACAGGCGTCACAAATTGCAATCACGCACCTGTAAAACACACCCGTAACTGGATCCCATCCCTTGGACAAGCTGGGACAGGTGGACAGCTTACGGTTCAAGGTTCGCTGTCTAAAATGGTTCCCTTTGGCTGCCTTAGGCTCCTTTGAAATCATTACTATTTTTGCAAGCGCTATTTTTTCTTGATCAGTAATTTCTTTCTTACAGATGCAATATCTTTTCATACTACATATTTTATGCAACTTTTTTCGTATAAATATTAATAGTACAACTTCATTTGGGCCTACAGTAACCTCCTAATTTGCATATGTTTACATCTCTGCTTTTCGAAATTTCATCCTTGGAGAATCATCTCTTATCTCGACTGCGCGCTGCCTAGGCTGGCTTAATTTAATGTACTGCGTTCCCGTTTTACTGATGCTAAGATGTGAATTAATGTAGCGCACCTAAGCGTGCAAATAGAAGTAAATAAATAGAATAAATAAATAGTTAAAGGGCCTTGTCATTTTGTTCCGTACGTTGTGCATCTAATCAAAAGCCAAATAAAAACAAAGTCATGAATAAAAAAGAACACAACCTACCCTCAATGTGTTGAGATTCAAATTTATTCAAGTTTATTGAGAATCATTCTGTGTAATTCTCTGGTATTTCAGGAATTTTGGATTCATGTGACCATCGTGTGTTATCAATGACTCTGCCATCGTTGGACAAAATGCTGAGAGTGTTCAATCCGAGTTTGATGGTAGTGCAAAGCAACGAACGTGGCGACAGTCTGAGGGAACAGGCAAGGTAGTTCGAACTTCATCTTATATTCGATTACTTGTTTCTCCCACAATTTTGATAATCCAGCTGCTGGTCCAGTGATAAATGTGAATAGTAATGCTATCAAGTGCCTCTCCGTTTTCACATATGGATCAAATGCTTGGCGTATCCAGAGAGGATTTCTCCAATGCCGAGCATTTCAATATCCTATTTTATACATACATATGCTGTGTGCTTATACCAACTGTACTTCCACGTTAAAGGCAAACCCCGGGATTAGCCCGACTTGTGGGAAGGATACCGCGAGGGAAATTGTAAGGTCCCTACCTACCTAGATCACTCCAGCTTCGCCGCAAAAGTTGCGCGGTTAGGGCGCTAATCCTTACGGGCCTGCAACCATCGACCCCCGTTGCAACGCTTCCCACCCACCTCGATATCGGCGTGCTCTCTCTCGCGTGTTTTGTCTTCTTTGACCGCCCTGCCTCGCCATCGTTCCACATCCGACCTTTTTGAAGGTTAAGGCCTTAATTTCAGCGATCCCAAAGATTTCTCTAGCTTTCCTTTCCACTTTCAGGCCGTTCCGCAGCTCAGTCATCACTACGAAGCGCTCTTATCACCAGTTTTATCCCGGAGCTTGCCTTTAAGCGTTTTTGGACATACTACCTGATCTGCTAGTAACACCTGACGGCGCTCATGTACTTGAAGGGGGGAGGGGGATATTCAAGAAAGGGCATCGAAAAAGCACTGGTAGGTGGCACTAGGACTAAGCTCAAAGGAGCGGAAAAACGCTCAGGAGAATTGCTGACATGCTCTCCCAGAATCCTTTTCTCCCTATAGCTTAGTCCCAGGTGCTATGAGCGGCACACTCACATGAATGTCTCCCCCCCCCCCCTCCAACGACATGAGGGCCCATTTGACATAATGTGTATGGGTTAATTGGATGTAAAAGGATAGTTTTATCAATTAGAGACAAGCTAGAAGGAAGCCGTAAGGTAGAAAGGCTATCCAAATGAATCGCTTATCGTTGACTCAATAGATTGTTTCTTTGATATCTTGGCCGCAGTTTGTACGAGTCCATGAGTACCAGCTATTAGCCCCATCATATTAGCCTGAAGCTCTGTCAACAACATTTAATCCTCTTGAGTAATGTGATCGCCAAAAAAGCTGTTTAGGTAGCAGTAATGCCATTCTCCTGGTCAACAACAATCAGCCAAATGTTGTGGCAATGGGGCTTTCGTATACAGATTTGATTAGGGAACCTAGCTCCATGTGATGACGAGCTGCTATTTCGGTGAATCTTATTGAAGATAATATGAAGGAACCTAAGAGACGGAGCATTAGGAAGGAAATCCTGAAACTTCAGCATGGTAGCTACATTGTTCATCGTCGATGAAATGTTCACTGCAGCGAGCTCGAGTTTGAGGGAAGGGAAAAATAAAGTTCGAGAATATCGAGCTTGTGGTGGCGGCCGCGAGAGCCATATTAAAGATGAATAACGAATTGTCTTGCATATTTTTTCATGGCTGACTCAATCTATTAATGAAACTCAGAATCAATAACTAGGAAGATCCGAAGAACTATAAGAACAAGGAACAAGCAATATGCTTAATTTGCTAGACCCGCAAACGACTTGAGCCTGCGCATCTTCCTCTCGTTGGTTTTACAGGCAATGTGCAAGCTCAGTCAGTTCTATCAAAGATAGATTCAAACGGAAGCTGTTCTAGTCAACTGTTCAAGAATAGATTCACTATCAAGGCGACGTGCTTCCTCACTGACGGAATTTTTAAAAAGTTCGATGCATGGCCCATTTTCTTCGACTTTGGGCTGTACAATTTTTGGCCATCCTAAACCTCCAATTCAAATATACGGGATTACTGGATGTAGCCGACGTTGAAGATGATGAAGTGCACTAAGCAACGAAGTTCGAGTGAATTGCTCAAAACTTACTCAAAGTGCGAGGTTGAAATTCCACAGGACTCCCTACGGGCAGGTGCCACTCCGGTAAGGTCTGAAAGAAATTTGTATAAATTAATGGAAATAAGATAAAAGATAAAGGATAAAGCATTTGCCGTTGATCAATCCCTTTTTGGGATGCGGCACGCATTCTACTTCCATTTGTACATTCGTAGTGGCATTTGAATGCGATGTGGCCTATACAATGACTTGCGGGGGCCAGCCGATGTACAAGTCAGTGTCAGAAAGTCTGGTACCAATTAACCGACCCGGAGGGATGGAAGGCTTGGTTGCGCCGGACTGATCCAACGATTCAGGATTTCATTGCCAGGACCCGCTGCGTCGTAAGTGATGGCGCACTTGTCACTACACCACTTCCGCTCATCCCGAATACGAAATGTAGGAAATTACTTGATAAGATATGATCAAACATTACTATGAGTCATATCCCGTTCCGGCCCTTCTGGATCAAACTGGGCCACAATTTACTTTGTCGCTATATTTATGCCCCACCTTGTACATCCAGCTTTTCTCCGTAGCCATTCAAAAGGTCGTCCGATTTCGAAGAGAATTAAAGTACATGGAACATCTTGAAAAAAGTGATTAATTACCACTAGCTTGATTTCTTATTTTATTATTCTTTTGTGTTTTCTAGAGCGTTGTCAAAATAGTTTATTATGAGCTGTATTTTCAGAAGTATTGCTGAATCCATACAAGAGATCAAAGGCTACGAAAATGTGTGGAAGTTCATATTGATAGCAGCGACGATCCAGGTAAGTGTCTGAGCAGATGTTTCGGAGATGTCGAGCAAGTCCATGGATGACTTACCTCAGAAGCTCTCCACCTTCAACACTTCCTCATATCAAGCTCATCTCTTTCAGGATGGTGAGGCTTCTGAATCACGACAAACCGCTGTTGAAGTGCTGGAAGCGATTGAGGAACTTCGCAATCGTCTACCAGTCAGGACTTTCATAGTTGTACTTAGGACATCAGGGAACGGAATCTGGTCCGATGCAACGCATTCCCATGTTGTGAGTTTTGACCTTTTCACTTGCAGTTGCCTTACCGAGTGTTGTATAACATTTATTTGTAATGTATTTATTTCAATAATGTATTTATTTTTATTTGTATTTGTATAACATCCCCGATTTGCGAACTATTTCATCCTTAGTCATTTGCTTGAATTTATGATTTATTCCTGGTCGTCGTATACTTTGGTTACGGTGGCTCACTGCCAATGAACTGCTTCATTGTTTCTTAGGCGTGTCGGGAAATGCTCTCTATGTGGAAAACGCACAGTAAATACAATTCGATGTCCGTCTGGGATCAGGTGAGACCTTCTAGCAACTTACTTGTAGCACTGACTTACTGATCATTGATCCACATGTTTATTCAGATGGAAACGATTGTGCATAAAAACTTTCGGCGTCCTGATTTCACCGTGGAGGTGCTACCATTGCTCCGTGAATCTGCCCTGGTCAATCTGCCTGATCAGTTAGTCTTTTATACTTTTTTTTTGTTTGTTAACTGCTGTTTTTGGCCGCAGTTCGCCTTGCGAATGTTTCACAAGAATGCTGGGTTGTGAACAAAACTTTCGCCCCAGGCGGGACTAGAACCCGCACCTCTCGCTTTCCGGGCAAGTGCGCTAAACCAGTCCTCTTAATACTATTTATTACATCTACCAGGTTCATGTCGACACTGCAACCAATCATACCCATGATTTTTCTCCTGATAGTGTCCTACCTTTCCACAAAAGATCCAGTACGCACGACTAATCATCCAGAAGTCACAATCCAGCCCGTTAGCGTTCTTCCTGGCTGAATGTTGAGGAGGGCTGGGGTCCACGACGGTCGACGGACAACTTCAACTCGGTCCTTAGAGGTCGCCACAATTTCATGCTTACATCAGGACTGAGCCTTAGAAGGGACGGACCTGCGAGGAGCGCAGGTCCCCTCTCCCAAGGCTTTGTCCCTTGCTAAAAATTGTCAGCTCGCTGTGAAATTTCACCAGTGGATCTGGACCTGGACCACGCAGCCCCCCCCCCCCGTAGAATGCAATCGTTTGTAATCATTCCTGAAATTTTCGGACTTTTTGAGAGAAAAGATGGCATGGAAACCCCGAAGACCAGTTTGTGCATTTCGAAAACCGTCTGACTCATCGACTTTATCGATTTGTTCAGAATGGATCTCAGCGTTCTTGGCTACGATTGTGCTCATTTCTCTGAACGTGGCCTATCACTCCTTCATGTAGCGATCTGGAATTCGCTTTTAACAAAAAGCAATTACCGGTAAGGTATTTTTTCTTTTTTCTTTTTCTTTTTTTCACGCATTCCCTTCCTCTTTTTATCCTCTTGTACTTCGTATAACTTCGTATAAACAGCAAGGGAGAAATCAGGCGGAACTATTTTAAGAGCAAAAGTCGGCAGTGGGTCCTCACCAGTAACGAGGCGCATGTGGTGCTGACAGTACTGTCACATTCATAGAGCAAATTCCAATTTTCGCAAGGGGGAAACTCCCAGGGGATGCGTGGACCATTCCATCCGCTTTCACACACACTGGCTTCCTTCCCTTGCAAAAATATTGAATTACTTTGGGCGATATGAACTGTAGTACAACATGCCTGTCTCACAAGGGAGGTCTTTCAGGGCAAGGTGCGCTTTTTCAAAACGGTTTCTCTGCATATTGTAGGGACGCATGTAGGGAACGCAAAACCATGTTTCAATTTCCGGCGAGTAGAACAGTACCTAGGCAGCCAGTCCAATCAAAATCAGAGTAGCGATAAGGTACTTGTTAACACCGCCGTTCGCAGATCCCCCACGCTTGAGAGCCGTACAACTAGAATACTGACATTTGGGTGGCGCCTACTGTTGGGCCTAATCGCGCTAAAATACAAAACTAGACTGTTCAAAATTCATCTGTCAGCTATTTTGACCACCAACATATCCTCATCCCGCCCACTCCACCTGATTGCCAAAACTTAAGCATCACACGCCGAAAGGGCGGCTCATAATGAATACAGCCTCGACCCAAGGTACTCTATTTGCAACTGCCTAACAATCTTTTTGTACCCCACTGATCTATGTATCAGTCCGAAACAACAGCAGGCCGGACATGGCCTTTGGATCGGTAACCACTCACATGCGTCGCTCGCGCACCCACACATGTCCACCTAACACCCCGACTTATTCCCCAAACAAACCGCACCCTTGCCTTTGCACACACCCTCCATCCCTGCCTGGCATGGTATGAAAAACCCGCAGACACAAAACTGAGTCGTGCTTATGACCTTGCCTTGGCCTAATATCCCCTCTAGAAGCTCAAGGACGTCCACGAACGAAAATTACGACCACTTTTCTTCAACTGCCCTCGTTATGCTTAGTCCCCGCAACCATTTACTATTTTTTCCCATATATGCCTTAACTTCTGTATTCTTTTGAAGGTTGCGAGACTATCGCCCCGTTGCTCCTCCCTTGCTGTGTCCTGATTTCCGTTGTCCTTTTTTCCGTACGGTTACTAATAGCGGATTTTGCATATGGAAAGCACCGTTGGTGAGTACATTATCCGAAGAATTTTCTCGCTCTATTGATCGTTTCGTCGAAAATTTGAAGAAATCTCTGCACCTTGAATGAAATTAGTTCGGCCAAAGCAAAAACAAGTTTTATGAAGCAAATGAACGACAGAACGCTGTTCCGATCCTAGCTGAAGACCTAACATTAGTTCAGTGGAGTCCTCCTGGCTCCATGGAAGGGTGCTTAAAGTTCCAACTAAGCTGCGAAAACTTATCATCACAAAGCGGTGACGGTCCATTGAAGAGCCTTGTGGTGACCAGTTTATGGTAAACTCAATTAGAAGGCACACAGTATTTTGTAAACAGGCGTGCGGTAAGCAATTTGCCCCTGGTGTACCCACCGCAGTATAAATGCTCCATGAATCTAAAACGCAAATCTGCCCCTCGCGCCTGCCCCGGCCGACAGCGTCGATGGTCTCTCGCAGGGAGCCGGAGGACCCGTGCCACATCTCCGCAGTCGCGAGACGTACCGATAGAAGATAGGACCAACGGACCAACGCTACCCAGCCCCTAACCGCCACAACCACCCGCCCAACACTCCATGAAGGTATGCCCGGCGCCACCCCTCGTATTTCCGCCCATGCTTTCTAGATCCCTTCCTCCCTGAAGTGGTTCCGTCCAAACAATGTTAATTAGCTCACTACTCCCCCTCCCCCGCCCCCTGCCCCCTCCCCCACCTTCAAGATCACGACACCTCCCCTCGTGGCATTACCAAACGCCTCCTGTTCGCTCTACATCCCGACGCTCCCCCCCCTCTTACCTGCCCCGGGACTCTCCGCCGCCGGCGCCCCATCCCTCCTGCTTCCTTCCGTGCCCCAGGGACCCCCCTTCCACGGCTACTACGCCTCCTGCCTACGTCGCTCGCTCCCTTCCCCATGTCCGCGTTCCTCGTTTGATTGCGCTTTTTTCTACTTCCTCTTCACACCTCACTACTACCATTCGACTCGCTTGGCTTCCTCCCCCTCCTAACATCAAAATTCGGTTCCCGAACTTCACGAACTAAAAATTTCAAAAGTTCCACCAGCACACAACAGCCTCCTTGAACATTCTGAACACCCACCACTTTCGCTACGTGCAAGTCAGTTATCCGCCTTGGGACGTGTCAGGCAAACTGCCTCCCGCACCCAGATCAACCGAGGCGCCTCGTATTTGGCCAATTTCACGGACCGGCAGTACGTAAGCTCACAGTAAGTCCCCACAAATCTGACGAGTAGACTCCAACGCACCGCGGGCCCACGACCTTCCCGACCGGCGGCCTCGCCCCGCACCGCCGCCCGCCGCCGGTCAGCCCGCATACAAGGCATGGAAAAATGGCAAACCAGGCGGCATCCGCATCTCAGTTACCCACCCCCGCTCGCCTTCTGCAAACTACTCTCACGACTCCAAACCAGCTTAACAAATGAAGAAATGTCTTATGAAGCACTTCTGACATGGTTCGCAACTAAAACTCGCGTGTGCAAGCAAAAAACGAAGCAACCCCTTGAAAGACGATACTCACACCCCCCAAATTAATGGCTTACCCATATTAAGCCAAATGTTTGCATAAATCTCACCAATAGCCACACACATGTCACGTTCACGATCTTGCACACTCCCATTCATTAACGAACATAGGTCTTTCTATTCCTCATTTTATTTACTCGCGTTAATCTTCGCTTATTATGTACTCCATAGTGAAGCCACTCCCAATGTTCCCATCCACCCAACCTCCGCCTCCAACCAAGGCCCTAATCTTGGAAATTGACAGAAAGTAAGTAAAAAGTAAGGTATAAGTTTTTTCACTCGAAAAAAAAAAGCGCTAGCCTTTTAAACCGGAGAAGCCGGTAGCTCACATAACTACATACTTCGAGCCATTAGTTTTTTCAGGTGATGAAAAAAGGAGATTAGGGAGTTCCAAAAAAAAGCTTGGTGTTTGCTAAAAGTAGTGTTCTCTGCGACTAACGATCCCGATCTGTGCAAAAGTTTCGAAGGAGTCTTCATGGTCTATTAGTTGCGAGGCGTCTGAATCTGTAGTCATTGCCCAATCTAGTTGCTAGACAAGCTCAGAATCTCGCCCCTAGCAATTCCCATTTCAACTAACATAAAGCAAGGTCTAATAGTTGTTTAAGCCAACTCTATATCCTTAATCGATCTCGCACGACATTACTGAACAATAATATCACCCCTTGCTTACGGAGAAGGAATTCTCCGTTCTGGATACTAAGTGACTAAGAAATAAATCACTGAGCATAGAAAAATCTCGTTTGAGATTCGCCACGCATTCCACTTTTATTGAAAATCGTGAAGCTTCTTAAACACCCTTGTATCCTGTGACGTAGCCGATATAACACTGTTATTACTTTCATTATCCCAGGTGATTCAATTTCAAATAGTCGACCTGAAACAATGAAAAGCTGTATTGGTTTCAGCAGAGTCAGGACCTTATACATAAAGCATAAAGGATAAAGCATTTGCCGTTGATCAATCCCTTTTGGGATGCGGCACGCATTCTACTTCCATTTGTACATTCGCAGTGGCGTTTGAATGCGATGTGGCCTATACAATGACTTGCGGGGGCCAGCCGATGTCAAGTCAGTGTTTTTATCCTCCCAGACAAGTCTGGTACCAATTAACCGACCCCGGAGGGATGGAAGGCTTGGTTGGCCCGGGCGACTCACGACCCAGGATTTGATCCCCGGACCGCTCGCGTGGTGAGCGCGCCACTTGTCACTACACCACTTCGCCTATCGGAAGCGACCATAAATGTAATCTATGCAAACGCTCTCCCTCTTACTTCCCGTCTTGTGTTGCACGGCTTTCCAAGCCCTGAACTTGCACTAAACTGATGTGGAGGTTCCAACCTTATACAAATATTTCGTGGTAATTAGTAAATCATCAGATGTTCCAGGTAGCTGAGGAGTCATCCATCTATCCGAAGTTGATCACTGTTTGTGCGCTGGTGTTCTGCGTGGTACTAGCGACTGCGGTGTTGTTCTTCGTGTGTCGCAAGCCTCGTCGAACCGACGACATCAAGAAATCGGCACTGCCCTTTGGCGCCAGCCTTAGCTCCATCAAATTTATTGATGAAGACCCAGTGTAATCTTTCCCCATGTAACTTTAGAGATCCCAAAGGAAGAGAGAACAAAAATCGATGAAATTTAGCTCACAATGCGATTCTCCAGCAGATTCCATACTTACCAGGGTATTTCTTGTAAGTCCCAGAATTTCAGAATCTGTGAAGGTTTTGTCATTGAATGCCCAATCAGCGAAATCTGCTAAACATGGTCAAAGGTCGAAGTTTTCCGTTCGGACGAGTTGTCGCGATCCTCGGCAATTACAATTATTTACCTTAGTAAGACTCATAGGTTTCTTCATCTAGAGACTCATTCGGGACAACTCGTCCGTATGGATTTATAGTACAACTTATTAACTATTTTATTTGCTTAACCACTTATGTAGTAAAATCGCTGCTATTGATTAGCCCGCGTCCGTAGCACGTGGCAATCATCCGCGCGGTCGCGGAGCAGCAAGGCACATCATTGGTCGTGTGTCGAGCGCAATTTGTTCTGAGTAGAGGGCAACATTCCTATGTGAGCCATCTAGTCCTTTACTTATATTTCTACTTCCATAAAGGTCCGATATTTATTACGGGCGATTTTTAGAATATTTTTTTGAATTTTGAAAAGGTTCGCTACTGCCACATTTTGTCCCGATGTATAGCTTATAACTGTGATTGTTGTATTATGGCCTAATTTTCGTATATTTTCATGTGAATTTTCAGCGCCTTGCATTCATTGTCTCTATATTTTCGTTTTTTTTTGTTTTGTTGTTATGTTGAACGGCAGATTTCTCATAAAGTTTTGTGTGAACTTGATCATATTGAAAGTGTCGGTAGTAATGCCACCCAAATTGAATGAGGGAAAGTACTGAGACCCTGTTGAGAGCACGAGCCAAGTGTCGAGGGAATTCGGGGTAACAAATCATCTCGGTCTTCAAGTTCTACCCTGTCAGTTCTCTCCCACCTGAAACTATCCGCGGACTACATATCTGGTCCAGAATTCATTCATAGTCATCGCTATCAGGTGTATGGTGAATTTGGTGATAATTTCGCGGTCCAAGGACAAATAGCGGGAATAACTGATACCGTTTGTGTTAGTCAGCTGAACAAGCTCTAATACCTGCTCATCAAGATTGACTGGTAAAATGGTTTTGGCGGGAAGCGTGGGGGTCTCCTCGTTTATCGTCGATACTAGAGCACTTCTCGCCTCCTTCCCAAACAAAAGATTCAGATATGCTGAAGGGTCTCAATCTATAATGAATTTTAGAGAAGACCAGCTCGCATTATTCGATACGATGGTAGTCGCATTTTGGTTGTTTTGTGAGGAGGGGTGCATTCAGGTGAGTCGTAACATTAGTTATTTTGTTAAATTTTGGGGCATTAGATTCGTTTTTGATGTATTTACTTGGATGTATATGCGACAACGTTGAGCGTAAGCATAACTGTGGAGCGAGGGGGATGGAAGTGGGCAGAGACCGCTATCTATACTATACCGACTCAACCGCTTTTTCGGTAAAGATGGCGATTCGGGCTGCATCCATTGGTTTCAAATCCAATGCTATATACATAAGACACTAATGGCGAGGGGGTGTGGTCGGAGAAGGGAAGGAGGATCGTATAGGGTAGATTTCCGAGTCTCATGGTGGTAGGGGCTTTGCATCGAGGCCCTCCAAAAGGAGGGGGTCGCGAAATTTTTGAAAATGTGCGAACATTACGGCTGACCCTGCCAGCAGTGTCCTAGAAACCACACATCTAACAATTTTTTTTTTTTTCACTTGATTGCACTTGACGTCCACCTGTTATTCCTCCACTCAATTTGCCTGAGCCATAAGACAGTCCTATTTCACCCGGTCCAGGACGTTTTCATTATAACCATGGCAAGGAAATTGGAAGCTTACATCAGTATTCATTCTACCATTACTATTCGATTTACTATCAGAAGTCTATTTTAAATGAATTATGAGTATCATGAGCGCTATATTCTTAGCTTTACGTATTAAATGATCCTAACATGATTGTAAGCCCTCCTTACCTGCAGACTCAGTTTACCTACTAAAAACGCTTTCAGCTTACGGTTTGAAATCAATCACCTTCCAATTAGTTGCCTGATCTCATACATTATTTTTAGCTAACGTCGATTGATTAGTTCACGTGATTGCACAAAATCGTTTACGTATCTCGACCCTAGAGGCTAGTATATCACCTAAGGAAAAAAAGATTTTATCCAGTGCTGAGTTAAATAAATTTCATCTGAAAGTGACTCAGGAAAAAGAACTCAAGTCAGAACAGTCGGAACATTACACGTATCTAAGCAAATGATATACCTACGCTATAGGAAATACCGCACCTCACTTATGCTATCCCTGCCACTTAGTGTTTCCCAGTGACGGTAAAGCAAAGCACGATAAAATTGTGTCGTTCGAAGAGGTTAACGAGTAAGTGTGAAGAAAGCTCTTGTCCAAGGTAAAGTGAAATGTGCCTTTCGGTGGGACGAAGTGGGATCTCCTCAGCGCCAAGAGAGCCCCCCCCCCTTTGTACGCCCTCGTCCCACAGCAGGCCCACCGTTTAGCTGCGCGCTGTTTGTCCCTCGCCGTTGGACTCTAGCAGTTTTAGCAGAGAGGCACAGCGGACCGTTCACGTTGATGACGTCAGCACGATGTACTCTCCCAAAGCGCAAGTTAATGAGGGAAAACAAGGGCCCCGCATTACAGGTTTAGACTGTTTTGCTCAGTTTTCCTTGGATGTGCCCTTTAGCACCCAAATCTTTAATTTCCAGCGGCGGTCCACAGTCCTTACCATCCGTGTTCAAACTCCATTCTACCCATACCTTACATACTCTCTCGAATGAAGGGCGATAGCAGACCAGCCTAAACCTTGCCATGGAATTCTCACACCGAGGATAGATCCTCTGAAATGTTGTAGCTCACTCGTTAGTGAAGAGCAAATCTTATCGGGCGCTAGAAAAAAGGGGTCATGAGTGAAACGCTAACAGTGAGTGTCGTTCCATTTCAGGTAAATGTGCAGCTTTTTGACAGTGAGGCACAACGAATAGAATGCATATTAAATTTAATTACCAACATTACCTCCAGGTCGATAAGTTCGCGTTCACATTTCCGCCTGTTTCACCCCCCCCCCATGTTTGCCGCGCTTTATTCCACCAATCTGTTGATATAGTACTTTATCTTTGGCCATATTCTGCTACCATAACAGATCCGTGATCTAGCATGCAACCTTGGTTGCAGAGACATTGCGAGATATCCGGAAGAATGCTCCTCCTTTCATTCACTTACGAGATGGAACTAAACTCAGACAGGGTTAGTACTTTTGGACATGGTCTTGCTGTGACCTTGACAAGAGTCCCCTCGTGTTCCCTTTCTTCCTCTGACTTTAGCAGCCCAACCCTAGTCCATGAGGTGAATCAGGTTAAACCTTTCGATGAGGTCTGGACCCCTGATGGTTGGGCAACCCACCTCAGTGGACAGAAGTTTTCTTCGATGAAATTCGACTATTCCGAAGTCATAAAAAGCTCATTAATACAACAACTCATTCCTTATCTGAAAGCAGCGAATGGACCATCATTTAGCAAAGCCGACCAGAGAATGAGAATCCTCGACAAGAGGACCGTTTCTAACCACAAAGGTCCCTGAGGCCGTGCCGAACTTTTTAAGAACGTCCTTTTTTGCTTGGTGTGGTGTCACTGCATGGTGACCACGGTCTATCCTGAGCTTTCCTCTGAATGCCAAAAGAGGAGAAAAAAGCTTGCGCACCACACCTTTTGACATCAGTTGCCGGAAAATCCGATTCACAAGATTGACGAATGGTCCTACTGGTAACACGGCATCCACTACGGGCCGCCGGTGCCATTTTGCGACATAAGGCAAGCGTCAGTCGAAAACGCAAACTTCAGTTACCTCGGAGAACTGTTATCAAATATTCCATTCTGCTTTTCTGGCGCTCAGAGGGCCGCTTAGAAAAATGAAATAGTCAGGGGTGTCCCCAAGAGGCCCGTCGGGGGCCTTTTGGGGGACACACCTTTAGGAAGAGATGCAGATGCTGCAAAGGACGAGTTCGCACCAGGGTCAAGCGTGCGTTGAGGAATCCTCGACACGTCGCAGGGGGGGGTCGTATTGGCCCGCTGGGTGGAAGAGATCGAGCCATTTTGATGCAGTGGGATCATCACCGTCGGAAGGACAAACATCAAGGATGAGTCGATGCCAGGCCAGAGGATTTCCAATGAAAATGATATTTCACCCACACAAAATTTTCGTGATTCTGAGGCGTCCGGTAATTCTTAGTTACTTCAGTGTTTTATCACCACACAAGTTAAAGAATCTGAAATTCGCACGCTTTCCAAGGGATATTTTATCTTTCAAGTGAGTCCTCGAATCTGAAGGGATGTGAAGTACACGGCGCATCCCAGAGTGGGTCCAGTTGTTGCGCGCGCTTCGATTACGGCTCCTTGGACAAACAATCTCAATCCAGGAAAAATCGAGAGGATTCTGAAAGTTCCGTGCGCAATTACAGGGAGATGTACACCATTCAACATTGCATTAACGCACTCTTCAGGGTTTAATTCATAAACATGTAACCTTTAAGGTTGAGAAACGCTAAACAATTTTACTTTTCTTAGAAAGGAAAAGCAATGATTCCGAATCTGCTCTTACTTTAGTACATAATCGCCCTTAAAAGGATATATAGCCGTTGAAATAGTGCCAATGTAGCGAAAAAGTACCTTTCGGCGGTACTCGTGCAAAATCCTCAACGTAGCCGTTTTTTTAATACTGGACGTTTGGAGCAGTTCTAGTAAGATTTGATAGAGCAAATCTTCTAGTTTATGATGGCGTATTTACTTTTCGGATTGGATGAGTTTGAACGGAGTTATGGCTTTAGGAAGTAAAAAAACTCGCACTCATCACAAATTTTCCTCGTTAATTTTGCAAAAATCCTCAACGTGGCCATTTTTTTTGAATACTGGACGTATGAAGCTGCTTTAGCAACCGTTTGGTAGAGAAAATCTTCTAGTTTTGTATGACGTATCAACTTTTTGAATTTGACGGAAATGAAGCAAGTTATTGCTCCGGAAAGTGTAAAAACTCGTGCTCGTCTCGAATTTTCCTCGTTATTTGATCTAAATTTGTTATTTCTTATAACTTCCTGTAATTTCAGTACTGATTAGAAAAAGCTCTTCACAAAACTCCCAAATCAGCTTTCAGATTGAAAATTCGTTAACTTTGAAGAAAGTTATAATCATTTGAATATTTGTTCAAATTTCAATAGTAAATAAGCTGCTCCACGGTCAACGCCAAAGTCCAGTCAACACACAGCTGGCGAAGGCTTTTACAAGGCTTCTTCCAACCGAAAGAGGGACGTGTAAATTGAGAACCATAGTCTGTGTAATACTAAAATTTGGTAAGTTTTGTGGAGGAAATAAATAAAGGACAGATGTTGTCATAGTATGCCATTTTTAGTGGCTAGTTTGTCGTTTTTTGGTCTGTTTCTCGTTTGCTCGTTTGGTAGGACTCATCAATAGTGATCATTCTTTGACTTTTTTTCTTTTTTGTACTTCTTAAACAAATTTTTTTGTGGACGGTGGGGTAGCGGCTTTTTTATGAGCAGTTTAGTTTTGGGGGAGAATTAAAACCTTTTCATAGTTCGGCTTTTGAAGAGGGTTGTTTCATGGACTTTGACCTCCGGCGGAGGGAGGGGGGGGGGGTCGTATTTCCAAATTTTCCTCAACGCCTCGCTTGACCCTGGTCAGCGGCGTGGTGGCGATATGTGAGACGTAGTATGGTACACTCCATTTAACCTGACGCTCTAACCGCTACAGTATGCGCTGCGACTCGTCCTTTGCCGTGACTACGTCTCTTTCTTCGCCGCGCGACGGGCCTCTTGAGGTGCCACCTTTATGAAAGTCTCCCTCTATAAACAGAAAACCGTTGGAAAAACGGGGCACGACCCTCAAGGCTCTACCTGTATGTAGCATGTAGAAAAAAGTTTTGTTATGACTTCCTTTGAGAGTGCGAACTTACAAGATATACAGTAGGCGCGCCAAAACTGTTCGATCGCAACCGGCTCTTTCCTTCGAACGCTTCTCTTTTTTGCCTAGAAAAAAGTCATGTGACCACGAGAAATTTTCTTTCTATATATCTGATTTCTTTAGAAAACTTGAGGATATAAAAACATAGAAAATATGCTGTGTCAATCATTGGAGGACATTGCTGGAGCGAGAAAAAATAATGCAACAAATTCGCTTCGGTGAACACTTTTGACCGCTACTGTAACTGTATCGATCAATCACCTAGAACTGAAGTTTTTGGGAGTTTATTTGTTTCGTTCAATGTTCAAAGCGCACCAAATAGCGCTGAAAAATGGAAAATAAAACTATCGAATATTTATTAAACAACTTATTAAACACAACCAAGCAATGAACAAAAAATGTGTAATACAAGCTTCACGAAAAAAAGGCGTCCCGTTTCCTATTCCTTAACTCGTTCATAGACTCTCGTGCTCTTCACTCCATTGCACTCACATACCTATAACGGCTTTTATTAATTTGTTGACCATAAGAAACCATTTGGTAATGGCTGCCCGAGCAGTTTATACTCACAATGTAAAGCTTGTCGCCTTCCACGTAACGTTCAACACGGGAGTCGGCACCTCCATTTTTGCCCTTCTCGTCCAGAACAAGGCGATCATTCTCAATGGTGTAGGTTTGGCTGACCTGAAATATCAGAAAGTGTCACTCTCTTACCCTAATGCTATCTATGCTGCTCAACTAAGCCGCCTTTAGTGAACTGCAGCCTTATCCGCATAACACGACGAGGATACACGCACAAAAACAACCTTCTTTCGTTACGGCACATCGAGATAGCAAAACATTCAATTGATTTTGAGTCGCAAATACCTTGGATTCCAATGGTCATTTTGAATATGATTATAGGAGTGTGGCGCAAAACAGGGCTCTTACTTGCAATTGGGAGAGGACCGTATACAGCGCAAACTTGATCTCCACCCTGGACAAACCATCAGTTTTTTTTAGAATAGTCGATAATCAGGTTCAGCTTGAGGTAATGCTGGACATAGGGCTCAGGATAAAGAGCGAAGGTAGGTCGTGAGAATGAAACCCCAGCTGGGTGATGGATGAGGAACGGACAAGAGGGATTGTGTTGGAGGATTTTGACGTCATGCTCGACCCGGATTCTGAGGATGAGTCCGGGTTCCGCCACACACACACTCCCTTTCGAAGGTAAAAACCCACATCTCTTCCGTCGCCGGTCTTCTCATCGAAGGTTTCGCCAATCTTGAACTTAGTGACGTATGTCTTGAATGTGGAGACAGATGTCATCTGGATATAGTCGCCGTCCCGAACAAACTCTAAAGTTGGCTTCAGATTCGCTGCAACCTTGCGGGTCATCAGTCCGACACCAGCCTGAAGATTTGAGAAGTGACTGCTGTGAACAATTCACAAGTGATGGCCTTATCTTCAACGTACCTCTTTCATGTAAGCCTCGAAATTTTCCGACGACACAAACGTCCATTTCCCAATAATGTCTTGTTCAACGGGCATTTTCTGAAAACATCAAGTTCCTAGTAAAAGGGTAGTACTCAACTTTAAAGACAAGCCTATGAAATGAGCATCGTTTATAGACCAGCTATGGTGAAGGAACGTATGAAAGTCACAATAACAAACAGTTTCGCCGACAGACTGACGCCAATCAGAAATTGATAACTGGTAAACAGCGGCGAATGTGTGTGTTGGCTTTTTGTAAGCGCTTCTATAGACAGTCAAAGAAACGGAACGGAATGTCCGAGGGCTTAGGAACAAAATAAAGGGGTGTAAGAGCAAGAATGAAATGGTATACCTGCAAAGGACAGTCTGTGAATGAAACCGTGAGAGGATTAGAGTTTGAGGCGCAAAGTGAAGGGAGAGAGCAGTCTGTAAGAAGACCACCAGAACTAAACCTTACAGAAAGAATAAGAGTTGCTTATGCACTTCGGATTACCTCTTCTTCCCTAAAACTCAGTCCAAAAAAGAGCGTTTCTGTGAATCTGACGCAATGCTACCAGCTGCCCCCCCCCCCTCTCCGGAGCCGCCTTGCGCCGAGCCTGAGGTTGACGTTGTGACACTCCTTTGAAATGGTACACATGACCACTTTGTTCTTTACGTATGCAACCAATTCCCAGCGATAGTTTCAAGCACAGAGTCAACCACTTGGTGGGATTTTTCCAACGGAGAAGATCCCCTTTTGTTATACTAGAACGAGGTATCGTTTCCTTGGAGAAGGATCCATGATGGGGAAATACTGTAGAGATATGAGACAAAAAAATTCTGAAACTGTAAATTTTTTAAAAATTTCAGGAGATCTCAAAAAATTCGCCGTTTCAAAAGTTAAAATATTATCCTCCATCTGCTCGACCGTATATCGGAATTCGGGGTTCACGACGGCTGCCAAGAAGGCGCGATCAGTGATGGTGTTGGGACGGCATTAGAGTCTGCGGAAGTGGGAAAAAACGTGCCGCGGGGTTGTCGTGAAATTGAAACCTATGCCAACTGCGAGTAACACAGCTCTAGCAAGGAAGATCGAGAGGGGCACTGCATTTCGTTGGGAACGAGGGGGAGGGGACATTCCAGTGAGTGAAGCGTCTCACAGCTTGGGGCTGAGCTTTAGGGAAGGGAAACGATTCTGAGAGAGCATGTCAGCATTTTCTCTCCGTCGCGTATCGCCTTTCTCTTGAGCTCAGTCCTGTGTCACCTAGCAGCGGTTTTCCGATGCTCTGTGTCAAATCCCCCCCCTCCAAAAAAACATGAGCACCTCGAAAGAGAAAAGAAGATCAAAAAGTGAAGGATGCAAGGAGTAAATGTCAGAAGATAGAAGACTATGCAAAAGAGAAGCGCAGAGAAGACGAGAAAACCCTCAAATGTTCGACAGCAGTTAAGAAAGTAGTGCGCAAACTTTGAGCTGAATCAAAGTTCCAAAAAGGCATTGATTCCCTCTTTCTGATAAGACGAATGAATTGACTTTGTCAAGGGCAACAATATTTGCATCAAAGAAAACGGGATTCTGTTTAGGAAGAAGAAAGGCCTGAAAAGACGAGTCCCAAGCCCTTAGCCTTTTGTTTGCGGTGAAGTTGATCATAATACCCTGCTTGCCAATTCATTTCTCTACCACACTTTCCAACAGCTGTTTCGCCGCTAACCCTGACTACTCCAGCAAAAAACCTCGCTGCGATGTGAGTCGTATGGGCAGCCGATTTTTGAGTGGAGGGAATTTCGGGAGACAGTAATATTGCTGACTCACCCCGAAAATCGTCGTTCTCCAGGGCTAAACCACACCCAATCGCCGTGCCCACCCGATTTACATAGCACCAAAGCCTCATATATAGTCCTGCATTGTGAACAGGAGAGGTCCAAAGAACAATAAGAGGATTTGCAGCTCAAGACAAGTCTCGAGGTACAAGGAGCGGGATTATCCCTCAAAGCCGAACGAGCTGAAACTGCAGGCATCTCCAACGACATAGCAAAACGGAAAAAGGAGTTGTTATCGAGGCAAGAACTGATTTTCAGAAGAAACTTCTCCCGGGAAGACCTCGAAAACTAGACACTTCTTGAAGATGAGCCCTGCTCCAGCTAAATGACTTCAAAAGTGACCTTCAAGTTTGCCGAGATAATTCGCTAGTCAAAAAACTACGCAGCCTCTCCGAGAACGTCTCTTCGAACAAAAACCTCTTGAGTTGATAAACTGGGTAAGGACTAATTGAGCCAAATTAGAAACCTTGATGCTCGAGGCGGATATTGAGCAGTGCGTAGGGGCGTGGCTAGGATATGGCAGCAATGTTCCAGTTCGATCCCTCTATTTTGAGAACGCTCTTCAGTAGGGACCTGAGAATAGCCGAACGCAAGGAGGGTATGCAGAGTTAGAGGAACGACTCGGCCTTTCAGCAGAATTAGTGCTAGGCAGCTGCCCAGACAAGGACTGAATGGTTGCAATGGACCACTGCTGCACGCGTCTGAATAGCAGCCATTCCAC